GATTCTAAGAGCAAGCAGCCCAAGAGACAGAAAGTAGTCCAGAAAACTGGAGCCCCTATATTCTCTTGGTCAAGGGTAACAGAACACAGATTCAAGGGAGGAGACATAGGCATCCTCCCTCCCTCATAGGATGGCAAATCAAAGAATTTTGAACCTGTATTTTAAAACTCTACATGTACCTTAGTACAGGTAACAGAGGCATTTAGCTTCCCATCCATTTTTCAGTGTTCTTTTTAAATGCCACCATTACCATGAACCCTTCCTGCATCCCATCACTGAATTTAATCTCCCCATTCTTGGACTTTCCATGGTACTTTGTTGGTTCCTTTTTCTATGGCATTTACCTGGTATTTCATGATTTTGTGTTATCTTTGCTTGCCACCTCTGTATGCAACTCTGCATTCCATTTGATAGTGCCTTACTCATAGTGGTTGCTTAATAAATGAGTTGAAGGAAATGAAAGAAATTTTTTCTTTTAGAATTAGCGAATTTTGTTTAAATGTTATAAAGTAGTAATTTGCCAAATGGAACCTTGATGAACTGCAAGGTGCAGGTTGTTTAAAGTTGAAAGAGGTAGGAGACAAATTAAAGTGGAAATAGATAGTCAAGGTAATGAAAAGAGTAAGTGTTGAGATAAAGAACTATAAAGCAAAACATATTCTGTTTTTAATTGAAATATAATTGGTATACAACATTAAATTAGTTTTAGGTGTACAACATAGTTATTTGACAATTGTGTGCATTATAAAAGACTCTCCAAGCCATGTGTAGTTACCATCTGTCACCAAAGTTAATGCAATATTGTTGACTATATTCCCTATAGTGTACTTTTTGTCCCAGTGAGGTCTTTTATAGTTGTAAATTTGTGTCTCTTAATCCCCTTCATCTAATTTGTTCCCCCACCACCATTCTCTGACAACCACCAGTTTGTTCTCTGTATTTATGAGTCTGTTTTTCATTTTATTTGTTCTTTTTTTTGTTTTTTTTTAAGATTCTACATATAAGTGAAATCATATGGTAACTTGTCTTTTTCTGTCTAACTTATTTCACTTAGTATAATACCATCTAGGCCCATGCATATTGTTGCAAGTCGCAAGATTTCATCCTTTTTGATGGCTGGGTAATATTCTGTTGTATGCATATGTGTGTGTGTGTGTGTGTGTGTATCTGTTTATATCATATCTTCTTGGTCATTCATCTGTTGATGGGCACTTAGGTTGCTTCTATATCTTAGCTATTGTACATAATGATACACTGAACATAAGGGTGCATATAACTTTTCAGAAAATTAGTGTTTTTGTTTTTTTCTGGTAAATACTCAGAAGTGGAAGTTGTATGGTATTTCTACTTTAAATTTTTAATTTTTTTGAGGAAACTCCGTATTGTTTTCCACAGTGATTGCACCAATTTACATTCCTACCAACAGTTTACAAGGGTTCCCTTTCTTCCACATCCTTGCCAACACTTGTTATTTCTTGTCTTTTTGATACTAGCCAATCTAACTAGTGTGAGGTGATATCTCATTGTAGTGTTGATACTCATTTCCTTGATGATTAGTGATGTTGAGTTTCTTCTCATGTGTCTGTTGGCCATCTGTATGTCTTCTTTGGAAAAATGTGTACTCAGGTCCTCTGCTCATTTTTAAATTGTACTATTTGTTTATAAATAATATAAGCAAAATGTATTCTTAATTTAAAAAGCAGAAGAACAAAATAGTAAACTAAAGGCTAGCAAGTGGTATATATGATTAGCATATTTTTTGCTTGAAGGTAGCTTATTTGTATGCTCTCAAGTTAGGCTGAAATTCTCTATGTAGCAGGCAACACTTTTTCAGCTGATTAACAATTTTAATTCTGTCTGCTGTCTTAATTCCCCTTGCATGTAGCATAACATTTATAGGTTCTGAGGTTGAGGATGTGGACATGTTTGGGAGGCCATTATTGTGCCTACTACACCATCTAAGTTGGGTAATAGGCAGTTGGAAATTTGATATTAAAATGCAAGGAGAAAGCAAATTTATTTCATAGATGTTTATTAAACTCATACTCTTGCTACTTACTTGCCAAATCCTGGGGCTGCAAAGGTGCATTTTTTTTTAATCTGGGAGCTCTTGGTTCAAAAGAGTGTGCACATCTACATAATCTTAACATACTAAGGACCACAATGAAGGTAGGTACAAATCATAAAGCATTATAAATTTTAGTAACAATTTGCTTTGAGAATGCATTGGGAAAGGACTCTTCAGGTCTACTTCACATGCAAAGATACGAAGAGAGAAACAAGTTGTTACCTTGAGGGACTGCAAATAGTGCTATATGCCTGAAAAAGGGAAGTGGTGTTTATGTGAGGGAGGGATAATTATGAAGTATTTTGTATGCAACACTATGGAGTTTGGGACTTTATCTTTTATGAAACATGGGAAGCCTCTGAAGGCTTTGCATTTTAGAACATTTTCTTTTCTTTTTTTCTTTCTTTTTTTTTCTTGGTAATATGGAGAATGAAAGGCTGAAGACATGGAGATAAGATTAAGATATTATCTAATATAGTAAAGAGAAAGAGGTCTGTACTATATAAAGTTGTGGCAAAGGAGTTGCAAAAGAAGAGATTTAGAAGATAATTAAGATTTAAGAGTAGATTGACAAGATTTGATGATACTAGATTTGGATGGATAGTGGGGTCTGGGAGAAGGGGACCAGATATCACCTAGGTTTTTGGCAGCTGGGTAGATGTTAGTGTTTTAATCAAGATAAGAAACATAAGAATTGGAGTAGTAGCTTTATTTAGAAGATAATGGATTTGCTTTTGGCTTTGTTGAATCAAGTGACATCCAGGTGGTATGGTTTATAGGTAATTGATTATTTTATATGGAGCTCAGGAAAAAGGTTAAGGTTATAGGTACAGAGTAGGAATGATTGGGATAATAGAGGATATTCTTCAAACCATGGGATTGACTGAAATTGCCCAGGGAGAGAAAACAGATTAAGAAGGCTATGGCAGAACTCCAGGGAACATTAACACTTAAGGGTAGTTTTTACTTATCTGGATGAAAAATGTCATTTTTTTGGAATTATCTTTTACCTGAAACTTGGCTAAAAAGTGATTTATAGTATTTGATACCTCGTTTTTTAAAAATTAATTTAAATGACCTAACCTTAATATAATTTCATTGATCTTAGTACCTTTTGCAACTTTTTTTTTTTTTTTTTTTTAAAGTAGGCACCACTGTGTGGCTTCAACTCACAACTCTGAAACTGAGTTGCATGCTTTACCAACAGAGCCAGCTAGGTGCCCCTCGCTACATTTTGCAACATTTCATAGCTTTCCCAATGTGTATCCACCTTTTAAGAGTTCCTTTGAGTAAAGATAATTAAGTAACCAGCTAATTTGCAGGAGATATTAGGATACAATTAGGTAAAATCTGAAAATTTCTATATAAACTGCATGAAAAATAGCCAGATATAAAGGTAGTTCCATTTATATAATGATGATCTGCTTGTAATTTATTATTTTAGTGGCTAGGTTGGAGACTAAATTAAGAGCCAGAGGAAGATTAGTTGGTCTTGGTAATTACAGCTTACTAACTGGTCATTTGAAAATACTTTGTGTGAAAACACCATCATCTGAGATATTATATATTTGATAAATGTGAACTATCAATACAGACATCATTTAATCCTTGTAACAATTCTGTTAGTTAATATTATTATCCTAAATTTACAGATAAAGAGATGTTAATGAAGTTAGCTCATCTGAAGTCTTGTAATGCTGTAAGCTACCACCAGGATTCTAACCAAACTTTTCTGCCAGATTGTAGTAAACTGAAGCCTGATGCTAGAGCTGTGCTTTTAGTTGCAATGAACTGTTCATGAAAATCTTTAACTGTTAAATAGAGTCCAAATTTAAAATCTTTTGCTTCTGGATGTATGCAATTTTACCAGTCATGCCAATTAAAATTTAACTTGTTTAGTTTCAGCCTACTGTTTCAGGATTTGTGATAATTTAAGTTAATATGTAGAATTAAAAAGCAATAAGCACTTCTTGAGATCTTACCATCAACATTCAAGTAAGGTATTGGTGGGAAGGGGAAATGATAGAATTGAATTTTGTGTTATGGAATAGGGGATCATGAAACTTTCTGTAAAGGGTCAGATAGTAAATACAGTAAATGACTCTGACAGCCATATGATTTCTTGTAAAGAATTCTTCTTACAGCTCTTCTACAGCAGCTATAGACAATATATAAACAAAAAAGCATTGTCGTGTTTTAATAAAACTAGAAAAAGGGGTGGGGGCCTGGATTTGGCACATTTACCAGCCCCCGTTACAGAAAATCTTGTAATTTCTGCAACTAAAAGATAAAATGTATTTATGATGATACTGTTTATGCAGAGTGGAAGTTTTCCTTTACTGAATGTATTGGCAAAAAAAAAAAAAAAAAAGAAAAATTACCAAAAAGACAGTAATAGTATAAAGGAGATTGGGAATAATACCTAATAGTAAAGACTACTTTTTCGGCATTTCTGTGACTGTTTAGATTAACTACCTCATAAATTATTTCATAATTCCGGAATATACTTATTCACTCATTTCTTAGAGTTAACATTTTTCTTATCTTGAAGAAAGCTGCCATTTTCATCAGAGTTTTCACAAATTCTGATAAACTTACTTTCCTTTATCATAAATTATGAAGGTTTACCATAAAAAGGCATAACGCATAATTGGGTGATGATTTTATTTTATTTGAATTTATTTTGAAAAGTGATATCTATAGATAGACTTAGATCAAGGCTTTTGATATATGTAGTTGGAAGGGTAGAATAAGAAACAGTAATCTGTTATAGTCAGTTTTCAATGTCACATCTTACAAACTTTTATTATGAGAAGTTTTGACCCTACAGATGCTTTCTGGTACTACAAAACTTTATTAAACATGAGTCATTTTGTGGTATTGGCCCTTACAGATATGAAATCAAAATGCACTTTTTAATTCTTATTCTCAGAGATTCGTCAGCGAACTGCGGCTCAGAGAAACCTTTCTCCAACACCACCAAGCTCTAGCCAGGGCCCTCCTCCACAAGTTCCAGTATCTCCTGGACCACCAAAGGACAGTTCAGCCCCTGGTGGACCTCCAGAAAGAACTGTTACTCCAGCCCTATCATCAAATGTGTTACCAAGACGTCTTGGATCCCCTGCTACTTCAGTGCCTGGAATGGGTAAACAGAGCACTTAATGTTATTTACAGTTTATATTGTTTTCTCTGGTTACCAATAAAACGGGCCATTTTCAGGCAGTATGGAAATGGCATTTCATTTGAAAATAGCAGAGCAGTTATCTGATTAAGCAGGAGTTCCATATTCAATTAGCCATAACTCTTTACAGCTGGCACCTTGTGATACTGAAACCTATTTCTTGAGCTCATTTAACTGTTATGGCTTCTTTGTTTAAATGGCAATAAAACTTTGTAGTATTCTGTAGTCAATGGTATAGCATATCTTTTTATATTCTGCTTTAGAATGGCTCCAGATTTATATAAAATGGGGATAGAAGAGAACACTTCTGGAATAAATTCATGCTTTTTGCTAAGCTCTTCACATATATTTTTAAGCATGACAACATTCTAGGAAGACTATTTCTGCATTGTGGTATACAATACTATTGTTGTTAATATTGGCTGGTAGATTTTTCTTTTTCTTTTTTTTTTTTTTTAAGATTTTACTTATTTATTTGACAGAGAGAGAGAGAGAGATCACAAGTAGGCAGACAGGCAGGCAGGGAGAGAAGGAGAAGCAGGCTCCCTGCTGAGCAGAGAGCCCAATGTGGGCTCAATCCCAGGACCCTGAGATCATGACCTGAGCTGAAGGCAGAGGCTTAACCCACTGAGCCACCCAGGTGCCCCTCGATTTTTCTCTTATTAAGCTGTCGGACCTTAGTATTTCTGACAGATACTTTAGTATAAAGTTCTATTAAATTAACAACTGCCTTTTCTATTTCATTTCTTTGGATTCTCTTTTTTCAATGTAGATCTCTTTTTTCAAGGTAGATCTCTAGGGGAAGATTGCATTTTGGGAGTTTTATTGATTATATTACCCTGCAGCTTTCTTTTGGAGTGTAATGGGACATGGAAGTCTAATGCTTCAGCAGATCACATTATTTTGTATAAATTTCCATGTCAGATTCTTGAATATGATAGTAAATTATTTAGTTATTTTAGGATATTTAATTCTAATTTAAATTACCTTGGTATTTCATGACTAATTACTAACATAATTTATAATGATTTTGAGGCTAGTCAATAGTGGATATCAGGTATTCAGGGCACTTATAATAAAAACAATCTAAATGTTACTGTAAGAGTGTTTTTTTTCCCCTGCCTTTCCTTCAAAGAAAAGGAGCATAAGATTTTAGAAAACTAAAAAACTATTAATTTATAAACTAATTAAAGCTGGCTACAAATGAAATGTATATAAATCATAACTTTTAAAGTAGTTACTGAAAAAATGCTTGTAAACTTGACATATAATGATGTCACTTAAGGCAGCCATATATTTTGTGAAATTGAGAAAAATTAAGTTGATTGAAAATTATTTATCTTTCTCTTGTTATTTGATATACCCATAATTTGTGAAGTTCTTAGTGGTTTAGTGTAAGAACTTTTTTGTGTGAGAATGCATGAATTATGTACATTTGTGTATCTGAGTTTTAAGGAAATCAAAGTTTAGCAACTTGTAAAAGGTAATAAAAACTGTATTGCACATAAAGAATAGGGCTATAGAGGGAAAAATGGCCTAAATTTCATGATCATGTAAATAAAACATATTTTACTAAAGTTTTTAATTCATTTTCCATGTAAAAGACCTAAGTTGTGCATTGCCAAAAATATGAATGAGTTAAATGATTTCTTATAGAGAAGATTAATAATTCATTTTTTCATTATGCCATATTTGTGGAAGAGAATCAATTTAATGTGTATTACCACAGGGCTCCCATATGTTTGAAAATTAATAACCAGCAGGTACTTGATAATTTGCCAAGCTGTGTAAAAATGACCAGTATTCCTACAATGATTGTTCTTGATGTTTGTATTAATTACTGTTATCTATAATAGCATAGATATGAGGATATGTTATTTTAAAAGTTATTAGTATGCACAGCATTTAAGATATTTTTATGAAATCTGTTGTTTTATGTATCCAGATTCCTTTATGGACATTTTCATTTTAAACATACAGAAGTTAAATATTCCAGCAAAAGTGAAATTGACTTAAATGCTTTCAATATATCATTTGGCATACTTAATTCAAGTTGAAAATTTGATAATGGGGGATGACACTTAATGTCTGCATTCAAATTTACTTTTTGATTGTAAATGATTGAATGTTGTTAATACAAGTAAACTAACAACTTATCTGATGAAATCTGAAAAATGTTCTTGATTTGTTATACAAAGAACTTATTCTAGAACCTAAATTTCATTTGTTAATTGTTACAATTTTGACATCATTTGCCCTTTTTAAGATGGCAACAACTTTTAGGTTTGTGATTATTTACAAGGCACATCTCTTTTTATTAGCGTTTAAAATATTAATACAGTATTGCTACTCTAAAACTATTCTTGAGTACTTTAAAGTTTTGTCACAGGTGTTTTGAAAACCTTGTATCCTTATACTGTAAGGCTTAATCCAACAAGGCCTCTTTTTGTTGCAAAGTCTTTCTATGAGGTCTCTGTGTAAACCTTCATTGCTGCCTGTCTTATTGTTTATCCTGCTTTGCTTTACAGAGGCAAACATCACTCATTTATTTTATTCTCTCACTTTCTTCTCAGTGCTGCCTTCTGTGTTGTCTCTTAGTTCAGAGTATCTCCTACAAACAGTTCTTTTTCAGTTTTCAAAGATTGTGGAGTTAAAATTCATAACTCTTTATTTTTGTTAATGTTTTTATATGATATGAATCATTAATTAAAACTAGATTATTCTTCCACTCTCCATTTGTCTCTTCTGATATTGCCTAGTTTATTACATGAAGACAGTATATCTTTTTAGGTAGATCTTCAGTTTTTCTTAGCAGTGTTTTGTAGTGTGCAGTATGTAGATTTTACACATTTTCTTGGTTAAATGTGTATGTAATTATTTACACTTTTTGAGCCTATTGCAAATGGCTTTGTTTTACTATCTCCAGTTATTCATTGCTAATACACTTAGAAATACAATTGATTTTTGTATATTAGTCTTCTATAATCTTGCTAAACTTAATAGTTTTATTAGTTTTTTAGTAGATTTTATAGTATTTTCCATAGACTATCACATTGTGAATAAAGATAATTTTTCTTCTTTTTTAATCTGGGCTCCTTTTTTCTCATACTTGCTTATTACACAACCTAGAACCTTTGGTAAATGTTGAATAGAAGTGGCAAAAGTAGGGGAGCCTGGCAGGCTCAGTTGGTGGAGCTTGTCACGCTTCATCTTGGGGTTGTGAGTTCAAGCCCCACATTGGGTGTAGGGATTACTTAAAAATAAAATCTTTAAGGGGCGCCTGGGTGGCTCAGTGGGTTAAGGCCTCTGCCTTCGGTTCAGGTCATGGTCCCAGGGTTCTGGGATCGAGCCTGGCATCAGGCTCTCTGCTCAGCGGGAAGACTGCTCTCTTCTATATATAACATATATACACACACACTGTAGATATGTATTTGCCTATTTTTGTAGTTTCTGTTAATTTTTTGCTTTATGTGTTTTGATGCTCTCTTATGATGAACATATATATTTAGGATTATTATGCTCCCTTGATGAATTGACTCCTTTGTCATTATAAAATTACTGTTTTTATCCCTGATAGTATTGTTTGCTCTGAAGTCTGCTCTGTTTGCCATTAATACAGATATTCCAGATTTCTTTTGATTAGTGTTAGTATATTTATATATAGTTTCTATCATTTGTTTATTAGTACTTTTAAAGGATTTATTTATTTTAGAGGGAGTGGGAGAACATGAGTAGGGGGAGGGACAGAGGGAGAAAGAATGCCAAGGAGACTCCACACTGAGTGTGGAGCCTACCATGGGTCTCAAGCCCACAACCCTGAGATCACAATCTGAGCTGAAACCAAGTGTTGGATGCCCAATCAGCTGAGCCACCCAGATGCCCCTCTGTCATTTATTTTTAACGTATTTGTGTCTTTGTATTTAATTTTTTTCTTATAAGCAACATATATCAGGTCTTGCTTTTTTATTCTGACAATTTGTGGCTCAATAATGAGGATGTTCAGACTATGTACATTTAACAGGATTGGTATATTTGAGTTTGAGTTTAAATCTTCTATTTTATCTTTTTTCATTGCCTAACTAGCTATATTGCTTTTTCATATTAGTGGGTCTTTTGGGGTTTGCAGTGTATTTGTTTAACTTACGACAGTTTATCTTTAAGTAATATAACACCAGCTCACAAACAGTTTGAGAATCTGACAACAGTATACTTACATTTCTCCTCTCTTGGCCTTTGTGCTATTGTTGCCATACATTTTACTTCAATATACTTAATAAACCCTACAATGAATGATTATTTTTCCTTTAAGCTATCAATTATTTTTTAAGAGTTTTGGATATTTACCCACATGGTAACCATTTCAGTTGTTTCCTTTGTACTACCTCTTTCTGTGTGGTGTCATTTTTCTGTCTTTTAACATTTTTATAGTGCAGTTCCGCTAATGATGAATTCTTTCAGTTTTGTATGCTGAAAAGCCTTCATTTTTCTTTCATTTTTCTTCTCTTTTTTTAAAAGATTTTATTTATTTGTTTGACCGACAGAGATCACAAGTAGGCAGAGAGACAGGCAGAAAGAAAGGGGAAGCAGGCTCCCTGCTGAACAGAGAGCCCCTATGCAGGCCTCGACCCTAGGACCCTGAGATCATGACCAGAGCTGAAGGCAGAGGCTTTAACCCACTGAGCCACCGAGGCACCCTTGCTTTCATTTTTAAAAGTTATTTTTATTAATACAGAATTCTAAGTGATAGTTTTTTTTTGCTTCACTCTCTTTTGGTTTGCTTATTTTCTGGTGAGAAATCTGTCATTCTTACCTCTGTTTCTCTGTATAAAATATATCTTTTTCTGACTATGCTATGATTTTCTCTTTATCACTGGTTTTAAGTAATTTGATTGTCTGTGCCTTGGTGCAAAATTATGTTTCTTGTTCTCAGGGTTTGTTGATATTCTTGTATTTGTGGGTTTATAGATTTCATCAAATTTGGAAAATTTTTGTGCATAATTTCTTCAAGTATTGTTTTCTTTCCCCCTCTTATAGACTCCAATTATATCTATATTAGGCCACTTGTTGTTGTTCCACAGCTTGCTGATAATTTATTTAAAAAAATTTTAGGCCTTCCTTTGTGTTTCATTATGTATGGTTTCTATTACTGTATCTTTAAGTTTACTTCCGCACACCCTATAATGTCCAAACAGCTATTCATTCCATCTGCAGATTTTTCACTCTAGACATTGTAGTTTTCATCTGTAGAAGTTCAGTCTGGGTCTTTTGAATTTTTTTCCATGTCTTGATTACCACACTGAATCTTTCCTCTAGATTCTCAATCATATCGAATATGGTCATAATAAATGTTTTAATATATTTGTATATTCTATAAACTGTCATTTCTAGGTCATTTTTGGTTGATTTTTCTCATGGGTTGTATTTTCCTGCTGATTTGCATGTCTAATAATTTTTCATCTGATATCAGGCATTACAAATTTTATCTTATTGAATGCTGGATGTTTATGTCCTTATACAAAGGTCCTCTGACTACATAATCCAGTAACCTGTGAGTTATGATGTTTTCCACTTTGGCTGGTGAGAACATGCAGCACTTTAGCTCTATGTGAACACTGTTACCTTTAATATTTGTGGGCAGTTTTTTCTGTGTACTCAGACGGTTTCAGTATACACATGCACCAGTCAGTAAGATGTTGAACAGTCTTGGGGCTCCTCTGTAAGCTTTGGTGTTCTTGCTCTCTGCATTCTCTTTCTGTGAACCTGCCTTGGTCTCCCCGGAGTTCCAGCTTTATCTCCTCAAACTCAGGGATGCTTATACATTTCAGCTGATTTACCCTTCCTAAGCTGTTGCCTGGAAATTTTCTCCAGGCAACAAGCGGGAGCAGTTGTAGGACTCCTCTTATTCTCTTTTGGGGATCTTTATCCTACATTGTTTAATACCCAGTGTCTTAACAACTGTTTCATGATATATTTTGCACAGTGTTTTAGTTAATTTAGGTGGGAAGGTAAATTTGACCCCGTGACTCTATTATTGCCCCAAATAGAAGTCCCATAATCTTCTAATTTGTTATTACATAAGATTTTAAGAGTCTGGACACTTTATTTATTTATCTATCTATCTTTTAAAATGTTTTATTACGTGTATAATCCTACAAAAATATATTTAGTTTTATCTATCCATACATGTATATACATGTTTTTAAATTTTTAATTTATTTTTAAATTACTTTTAAGTTTTAGTTAACATGCAGTGCAATTCAGTAGAATTCAGGAATTGAATTCAGTGATTCGTCACTTATATACAACACCTGGTTCTCTTCACAACAAATGCCCTCTTAATAAGGGTGTGGGCACTTAAAAAAACTAGTTTGGGAGGCAGGTGGGTGAGCCTGGTGGTGGGTATTATGGAGGGCACATATTGCATGGAGCACTGGGTGTGGTGCATAAACAATGAATTCTGGAACACTGAAAAGAAATAAAATAAAATGAAAAAAATTAGTTTGTACAGAGCCCAACATAGTTTCATTTCTTAATAGTTTATATTGATGGTTTTGACCTAGAACTTAATTTAACATTTTTTTTGTAGTGTAATATTTTTAATGAAAACTCAAATGCTCTGAAGAGATGTATTTTCTTTTCTTTTCTTTCAAAAGTTCTGACAAGCATGGGTAGTACTTGGTAACTGAATTAAAATTTAAATGTATTTTATACAAATACATAAATATTTCTTTATTTACTAGGTCTTCATCCTCCGGGTCCACCTTTAGCAAGGCCCATTCTCCCACGAGAAAGAGGTGCTCTGGATAGAATTGTTGAATATTTAGTTGGTGATGGTCCACAGAACAGGTAATGCTTATAAAAGTGGTAGGTAAATAAAAATGAGGAAAAAGTTTATTGGTCAGGGCGTGTGTGTATGTGTGTGTGTGTGTGTGTGTTTATGCAGTAGATGTTCCACAGTTCTGTGGCTCCTATTTCCTGATTTTAGAACATAATAGAATATTTTATAGCCCTGCAAAGACTACATATTCAGTTGTTTTTCAGTAAGAATTTAAAGTATCTAGATAAAATATAGCAAAATATATAGAGAAAACAAAATAATATTGTATGACATTTTATTTTTTATTATTTATTTTTAAAATTTTATTTTATTTTTTCAGTGTGTATGACATCATTTTTAGAGAAACTGTGTCATTTCATGAAACTTTTAAGCTTGAAGAGCAAACAAATAGTGAAAACTTGGTAGGCTGTAAGAAATGGAGTTTTATAGATGTCAGTACTGGAATTGGTGATGGTGATGATTTTAATAATGATGAAGACAATTTACATATGTTTGACACTTTTAGTTCTCAAAATGCTTTTCCACTTATTGTCTTATTTGATTTTTATAATAACCAGAGGAAGATAGGGATGTTGTGAGCAGAGCAACTGTCATAGTGTAGACTTCTAAAAAATACTTAGGATAGTAGAGTAGATATTGACAAGGTTATGGTGAATATTATCATTTTAATAAAAGGACTGAATTTAATGTTAGTATTATAAATTATATGTATATATTTTATATATATTTAATGTTAGTATTATACATTATATATATAATATATAATTATTTATATTTATATATAATTATAAATTATATATGTATATATAATATACAGTTATAAATTGTATATTATTCAAAACAGACAAGTTGTTTGATAGGGCCAAGTATTTGTTAAGCATGTACACAGAGAACAGAGAGAGTATATAAATAGAAAATGAGGAAGATGTATAACTGGGACAGGTATAGAAATCATGATATATGTGAAGTTAACATATAACCTTTGGATTGGACTAAGCAAATTAAATTCATTTCTTTATACAGACTTCTCAGAGGTTTTAGTAACATTCATTGTGAATCTCTAAGGGGTTGTATCTTTTCCAGTTGTATCTAGCCACAGATTTGGAGTCTATCATCCCCAGAAACACATGTTAGGAAGTAACTCAAATTTAAGTGTTCTGTCATCGGATATGTTTCTTTTAACTTAGTAAGGATATATTCATTTAACTTTGCTTAGTTTGTTTTTAACTTGGTGTATAAATTATATTTTAAAAGGGCTGAAATTTTGACTTATATTTAAAGAGTATTTTTCATTGTTTACTAAGTAACATCTAAACTGTTATGACATATTCTGCTGTGCTAAAATATAAGTTAGCTGTGATGGCTAAAGTAACCTTTCCATGGGCTTTGTAACTGACATGTTCATTTTTCCTTTTTGTATAGGTATGCCCTTATATGTCAGCAGTGTTTTTCTCATAATGGCATGGCTTTGAAAGAAGAATTTGAATACATTGGTAAGAATTATTGGGCAGTTAGATTTAAGTATTTTACTCTTAAATATTTCATTCTATGCCAGTTCCTATGTAATGTCACATTGTTTTAGGTGCTATCCCTGTATGTATTTTTCAGGCATATTGTTCTTACTTTAGAACACAGAGCAAAGCAGGAAAAACAATGCAGTTGTTTTCCTCATACAGTGTACAACTTCTAGGTCAGTTTTCTCAAACTTCACTGTGTATCAGAATGACCTGAAGCGCTTTTAAAGATTATCATGCCTAGGAGCGCCTGGGTAGCTCAGTGGGTTAAGCCTCTGCCTTTGGCTTAGGTCATGATCTCAGGGTCCTGGGATCGAGCCCCGCATTAGGCTCTCTGCTCAGTGGGGAGCCTGCTTCCCCCTCTTTCTCTGCCTGCCTGCTTGTGATCTCAATCTCTCTCTCTCTGTCAAATTAAAAAAAAAAAAAAAAAAGATTATCATGCCTAGGATCCACCTACGAAGAGTCTGTTTTAATTGGTCTGAGGGGAGGGGGACAGGCTTTTTTTTTTTTTTTTTTTTTTAAGTACCTCAGATGATTCTCATGTGCAGCTACTATTAAAAAAATATTGCACTTAATTAATTATGCTACATTTTTTTGGGCAAGTGAGCAGGGTTCTGGATTTTAAAATACCTAATGATTGTAGTGACTAGAAATGGAATTTCTGTAATACATTTTAGATTAGTATAGATTGTTTTGCTATTAGATAACCTGTCGTGTAACTTAGGATCTTTTCTGTTTTAAAATTAATATTCTAATTCTAATAATAATTAAAAAAGGTGCTTGAAAATTAGCTTTTGGAGAGCACCTGCCATATTATTAAAACCAGAAGTAATTTCTCAAGGGATAAATAATTTTTGAAGGGTTCTTTGACTACTTTGCAAAAGTAATCTTGAAAATTATCTCATTAATCCTTGAATTTATTTTGGTTTGTGTGTGTGTGGTTTTTTTTTTTTTTAATTCTCTGCAGCTTTTAGATGTGCCTACTGTTTTTTCTTGAATCCTGCAAGAAAAACTAGACCTCAGGCTCCAAGACTTCCAGAGTTTAGTTTTGAGAAGAGGCAGGCAGTGGAAAGCTCAAGTTCAGTTGGTCCTTTGCCCTCAAGAAGTGTGATTTCATCAGAGAACCAGATCAGTGAAGGTATGAATATGTTAAAAAGTTTTGCCTCTTAATAATGTTTGCTATTTAACAATAAAAGCATAATGCTTTTAGGTAAGAATGGATTAATTTATGAGATTTTGCAGCATGCACGTATCAGCTGTGGCTCTGAAACTCTAGCCTCCTATGTGATGGGTCTAATATGCTTCAGTTTTAAAATGTCGGTTATACTGTGATAAGCAGCATCTAGCAACAGCTAGGTAAACATTGTTTTTGGAGTGACATCTTCGTGTAACTGTTGGGAGATTTGACTAGTAATGTTTTCATGGAATCATTTTTTCAATTTATTTCAGTGAAGCAGATTATAAGAATTATGCACCTACTTATAAGAGTAAAATTCTGATAAGATTTATAATTAACATTGGTGAAATAGGTTTGTGCCTACCACTGGAATTGGTAAGGTTACTGGAAGCAGGAAACTTTGGAATCGGAAAGTCATCCTTGTATTCATTGGATAACTATGTTGATAGGACTGGTAGTCCTTTGAAACAGTTTTTTGGGGTCTGCAAGATTAATGTTGATAATGGATGCCTTTGATGTAAAACAGCCTTATTTTAGAGAAATAAAATTTATCAGAATTCATTGGTTTTTAGAACTCGTCTTGTAATTCTGTTTTATGACTTCTTGAGGAAGTGTCATGAAAAAATGGGGAAGAGATGGAAGATCTGACTATTAATTGCCAACTATTTCTGTTAATCTTAGGTGGGGAGATGTTTGTCGAGCAGCTCTGAATGATGGAGATGCTAAAATTATGGCTCAGGCCGTGATATTTTGGTGCTGTGCCTGATAGAGAAAAAAATCCACATTAGAAGTTTAGTTCACGTAGTTTATTTAGCAGTCAGTATTCATCCTTTTAATTTCTAGGAATTCTCATTTACATATATTTGAGTTCTTTATACAGGTGCTGAGTGGTGAAAAAATTGCTTTAACTGAGAATGACATGAGACAGTGAATTTTCAGATATGAGAAGTTTAGGATGAAAATTTGAGAACCTTTTTTCTTTTTTTTTTTTAACTTGAAGAGTGAACCTAAAATGTGTGTGTTGATTTGGGCTTGGCTTTTGGCTTACTAACATATATCAAAATGGATTTGAACACAGATCGTCATGACAAAAAGCCCTTGTACTTTCAACATGGAATCAATACCTTTACCTTCTCCAAGTCTGTAACATCAACTGCAAACATAATCACAAGTTTTCTTCTGCTTAAGTCATGCTCTGAGCTGCATGCTGTCACATGCAAATCACCTGCCTTGCTATTGCTGCCTCTTGGGACAGAAAACTAAAGAATTTCATAGTGAAGATTCCTAGAGGAAATATTGAAGTCCTTTCCACGAGTAACCTTGCTTATTAAAAGCTAAAGTGAATATTTGAAAGCTAATAAGAAGGAAGGAAGAAAGGAAAGGAAAGGGGATGGAAAAAGAAAAGGGAAAAGAGAAGAAAAGAAAACAGGGAAGGAGGGAGGGAGGGAGGGAGAGAGGAAGGAAGGAAGGAAGGAAGGAAAGAAGGAAGGAAAGAAAACAGCCAACAAAATAAAAATCTTGGTAAAGAGTCCCATGATTTAATATCTTCTGCTAAGATTGAGATGGATAGTTAGCAAACAGCACCTAGCTATACCTTTCCTTCTCATCAAATCTAGGAGGAACAATACCCCCGATGTCTCATTTTCTATCTGAAATCTCCAGAACGAAGTCTAACTGGCTCAAACTCAGCCCTAATAAGGTAATATTAATAGGTGAAGACAAAACCAGAGGCAGGGTCTAACAACCCTGTAGGACTAGGAACTGAAGAAACAATTCCATTTGGTTAAAATAGTCTTTGGAGTAGTAACTTTTTCATAGTTCTCCTTGGATTCATCAAAAAGGCTGAGAACCTTTTACTTCTTTGGCTTCCAGAAGATTGAAACTTTTCTCCAAGACTACTGTCTCACCACTATGATATAGTTACCATTTCCAAGTAATTAGCAAGCATTCTCGTAAAAGATGAAGCTGCATTTGTTTTGAACGCTGGTGGCATAGCTTTATGATTATTATATTGAACTGTTAAGTAAGACCGTATCATCTCAGTCATCTCTCTGTACTGACAGCCAGTGTAAGCAAGGTCTTAGATTTCTGATTTCTGCGTTTGTGATGTGAAAACTTGAGGTCTAAAAAAACTTCCTGGCACTCATTTATTTATTATATATTATATGTATATATAATATATAATAAATAAATTATATGTATATATAATATATAATAAATTTATTTTCCATAAATAATAAAATATATAAATATATAAATGCCAGGAAGTTTTTATATGTGTATATCAATTATATATTATATATAATACATTATTAATATATATTTATATTTAATATATAAAATTTATATAATTTATATAATAAAATAATAAAAACCAATATAAAATAAATATAAAATAAATAAATTTATAAAATAAATAAAATATAAATATAAATTTATATAATAAAATTAAAGATTTTATTTATTTTTGAAAGAGAGAGAGAAAGCAAACACAAGTGGGGGGGTACAGAGGGAGAAGCAGATCCCTGCTGAGCAGGGAGCCCGATGTGGCCCTCGATCCCAGGATCCTGCGATCATGATCTGAGCCAAAGGCAGATACTTAGCTGACTGAGCCACCAAGGCACCCAATTTTTATATTTTTTAAAGTAGTGAAATAGCTCCTTGATAGTGGCAGAAACTGTAGAGATTAGGTTATTGAAGTCACAGAGGAAACCAAAAGATAGCTCTCTTCTATCTGAATTTTTCTTTCAACAAATACTCTGTAACTGCTTATATGAATAATCTTGGATCATTAGAAGCAACCCTTTTAAAAAAAAAACTATGATGCAAGACTTTGAGTTTTGTCTTGATTCTGCTAGTGGAAGATTTTGCATTTAGGATGAGAGACAAGGCTTTTGGATCACTCTTTAGAACAACTTAAGAAATGTTGGAGTTTTCATCAAAGAGGGAGACCTAGAAGAAATTTCTCCCATTAATTACTCATTTGGATTCCTGTAATTTTCTTCTAGAACTCTGTATCCAGATGCTTTGGTAATACTGTATAAAAGAAACACAAGGGACACTTGGGTGGTTTAATTAGTTAAGCATCTGCCTTTGGCTCAGGTCATGATCCCAGGGTCCTGGGATTGACTCCCACATCGGGCTCCCTGCTCAGCAGAGAGCCTGCTTTTCCCTCTCCCTCTGCCTGTCACTCTGCCTACATGTGCTCTCTCTCTGTCTCTCTGTCAAATAAATAAATAAGATCCAAAAAAAAAAAAAAAAGAAACACAATTAAGATTATGGATTCTCTTTATGTTAGAGCATACTAGATATGGTATGCCAAAGTAATGAACTACTTTTAAGTTATTTGGGTTTTTTTATGGTTGAGTAGTGAATCTCTGCTAAGCCACATTAAAGTGCTTTATCAGTTTTGCTTTCCTAAAATATGCTTTTCAAAATAATTGATATGTAGCATTCTTTTTTGTTAACTATGATAAAACTTAGAATAGGAGGTTTCTACATTGTTAGCATACCTGTAGAGTGATTTTAGGCTACCATGTTTGAAAAATGTTAGGATTGTTTTAATTATTCAGTTGTATTTGTCTAGATCTTATATAATTATTTTAATAAAAGATAGCTTTCATTCAACTGGAAATAATTTTCTAATAATAAAACCTATGGCATTTAATCAATACTATCAAAAATATGGGGTAATTAAGTGATGGGCATTAAGGAGGGCATGTGCTTTTAGGAGCACTGGGTGTTATATGCAACTGATGAGTTATTGAACTAATGATGAAACTAATGATGTACTATATCTGAAACTCATGATGTACTATATGTTGGCTAATTAAATTTAAATAAAAAAATGAAAAAATAAAAAATACCAAAAATAGCAAAGAAAATTTATATAAGGTGGAATTTATTTTGGTAATCTGATTTCTGCTTTTTTCTTTCTTTTAAGCAATATATTGTTGCTGTTAGGTTATGTTGAACTAGAGAAAATTCTGTTTTTACTATTGTTTGTTATGATGCTCTAGGAAATTGAACTATTTGATAATGTAAATTTTGTTGAATTATGTATTTACCAGATCCAAAAAGCTTACACCTTTATTGACATTTAATTATGTATAGCTTCGTCAGGATACAAACATGCCTATAGTATCTTTTTGCTTGTTTGTTTTAGACCTAGAGATCTTTTGGTCTTTTGATTCTCTTTGCTGAAGCACCTTCACCTAATAGTTTTACATTATTGCCTGATAATGACATTTCTTTCTTATCTAATGCATTTGTTCTCCAGTGGTAAATAACAGTATCACTATTAAACAGTATTCTGTGTGCTTAGTATGAGTTATTCTCTCATAGGTGGTTTTTATTTAATTAATTTTATTCATTGAGCCATATTGGGTTAAGTTTTGAGATGAGATTCATGTCTTTGTTCCTTAATGTAAGTTGGCCATTTTCCTTAAGCCAGAAAGTCACATAAAAACTGCTTTGCTTAAGACCTGTGAATTCAAAGACAGACTGTCCATTTTAATTGAACAAATTCTCCTTTGGGTAAGTTTTATAATCTACACATAGTGGGTACTGATGTGTTAGCAAGGCAAAAGTTTGATGCATAAGCAAGACAAATTTTTGTTGTTGTAAAAAGGAATAAAAAGTAAGAATCTAAATGAATTCACCAAAATATTGAAGGATTTTCTTTTTTTTTTTTTAAAGATTTTATTTATTTTACAGACAGGGATCACAAGTAGGCAGAGAGGCAGGCAGAGAGAGAGAAGAAGGGAAGTAGGCTCCCTGCTGAGCAACGAGCCTGATATGGGGCTCAATCCCAGGACCCTGAGATCATGACCTGAGCCGAAGGCAGAGGCTTAACCCACTGAGCCACCCAGGTGCCCCAGGATTTTCAAAGGCATAAACTAAATAGAATAGTTTTTTTTCCCCCCCTTGGAAATTATGTATTTCTAAAGGAAATATATGAATTTATTTTGCTAGACCGTTCTTGAATTTTCTTAGAAAATTATTTTTTTAAGAGATAGAATAAAAACCGAAATGTAAGGTGATGTTCATACATGTTTTTGCATGTGTGTAGTTTATAGATGAGGCAGTGGTATTCATTATACAGTTAATACTCAGTTTTATGAGTTTCAGTTCCAAACAACTGTAAGCCAGTTGTTAACAATTTGGTAGAAAAAGCTTTCTCTTTCAAGAACACTGGGGAGAGGGGCAGGGGGCAGCAGTGGGGAAAGGAACAAATTCCATAGGTCATTTTTGTTTTTTAACATTGTGATATATTGTTTTCTTGACATTATGGATGCCAAAGTTAAAAATTTTCTTACTGATGGTATTACGTCGGGTAACTTTGTTTTAATTTTAGTCTTAAACTGATGTTGCATGGGGGAGAAGAGGCCTCTTTAATTAGTGTGAACACAAGTGCTGGTTTCTTTCTTACAATTTTATGCCCAAATATTGACATCTTCTATTATGTTATCTTATACCATCAAGCTATTTTAAACTATAACTTCACAGAAAAAATTAACTGTTTTTATTAGAATAGGCAAATGATATTCTCCCATAGAAAACAAGTAAATACTTTTGGAATACATTTAATAATCTTATTATAAAGCTCTGTATTTTATTTTATTTTTTTTTAAGATTTTATTTATTTATTTGATAGAGATCACAAGTAGGCAGAGAGACAGGCAGAGAGAGAGAGGGAAGCAGGCTCCCTGCCGTAAAGCTCTGTATTTTAGTTCTTAGACATGTAATTCTCTGTTAATCTTGCACACCTAATTCACTTAAATCTTATTTGGATGACTTGAACAAAATGGATTTGGCATCCAAAAATCGAATATCTTGTGTCATTTAGACTTATGTCTGCTTCATAGGCATCATAACACATACCAGTTTTTCTGTAGTATTACTGTTTTTAAAATGACTTTTCTGCAAATTAACCTGGGGGTAGAAAAGTAGTCATTAATAGGCTTTTTCATTATTTTCAAGCCCTATGCATCATTTCACCAGTTTTTAGTCTTCTGTATGTTCTTTGACATAAAATAAATTATTGACAAGCAAGCTTTGTGTATGTCATTTTCTAATTATGATAGCCCATACTCTTTCTTAGAATTCATCTTTATACATTTAAAAATTTAAGTATTATAGTACTTCTTTTTGTATTATCTGCCTCAAGACACCAGAGTTTTTTAATTTAATTGCATTTGACCAATGTTTTGTCTGTTTCTGAAAATAGTTACATCACAGAGCTTTACTGTTATAATCTATGAACTTGAGTACCTCTCCTGTTCAGTACTGAGGCATTTGGTCAGACAGACTATAACTAATTATCTGAGTCTCTATTCACCTAAACACATTTATTGGTGAGTTGAGTCCCAGATTCTGAGCTTTTGTCTTTTCATTTCATATGGCTTTATTGGTTTGTCTCAGAAGGCTTTCTAAAATATAACAAATTGTAAAGTTCTGGGCAAGTAAGCATTGCTCAATGGCCAGAGAGTTGTGGAAAACTTTGACTCTTACCATTCTACCCTGCATAAATCCTGAGAGGGTAGAATTACAAATGGTTGGCAACTCCTGAAGCTTTCCACTGAAGAATTTGCTTGCCCTTGTGGCAGAAATGATCCGTACATGTCCAGAGAATTTCATTTGTACTTTCTGCTTTTCCTTTGTGCACTGGAACATTCAAATAACAAAACTCAAATGACCTACTGCTTTTCTACCTTGATTTTTATAAGATTCCAAGTGGTACTGCGATGCCATTACTGCAGTGCCATTTTCAGTTCAACTTAAAAATAACATTTTTGTGACATTTGACACAAGTAGGATTTGTGAACATTCCTCACTATTTTTGTGATCATATGAATTTTCATACAGTAAGACCTCACTAAATTGGATGTCCCTGACTGGAATTTTGGCTTTTCATTTTATATAAGAGGGAAGGAGGTTGTAATTAATTCTGTAAACTAGAGTCTAAGATGTCTGTTTAAAGGAATAATGATTTTTTAGTATTTTAATTTTTTTAATTTTAATTTTTTTTTAAAGAGCTACTTCACTCTCCGATTGTCTTTTTTTTTACACTTTTTTTTTAAAGATCTTATTTATTTATTAGACAGACAGAGATCACAAATAGGCAGAGAGGCAGACAGAGGGGGGGGGGGGGAAGCAGGCTCCCCGCCAAGCAGAGAGCCTCATGCAGAGCTTGATCCCAGGACCCTGGGATCATGACCTGAGCCAAAGGCAGAGGCTTTAACCCACTGAGCCACCCAGGTGCCCTGATTTTTTAGTATTTTTAAAGTCTTGGCATGAGTGTGTGAGATTTAGATAATTTGTATCTATTTAAACTGATAATGGTAAAACCATGAATTTGTAAGATGTCCACTTCCATGTGTGCATATGGCACATAATTTCTTTGCAAATCTGTTTTTATTTAGCAAGACTCTGACCTGTACTGTAAATGAACTAAACTTGAACTTTTTACTAGTGTAGATTGGCTTTTTCCTTCAGATTTTTTGAAGTAATGACATTTGTAGTATATCATAAGGGATCTTCTAGGAGCGTAGTAAAATTTGCTTATTTGTTTGTTTCTCCTAGCAAGGATGTTTGTTACTATTTATTACAAAAACAAAAGCTAGATTTTTATTTTTTACTTGGAAATTGGGAGGCCCAAAGCTTTCTGCTTCTGACATTTCTTCCCTCATTTTATTCTTCAAACTTTAAAAAACCAAAGGGACTTTACTGAGTAAGGTTATTATTATTAAGGGATTTGAATTTAATGAAACTCAAAGGAGAATTTAAAGGGAGTAAATTTTTAGATAGGAACCAAGACCCTCACTTAGCTTCCACTATGGAGGCGGGCAAAAGACCCTTCCCTTTCTCTTCCTTGTATTGTAGGTATGTAGCATATTGTGACCCAGAGATTAAATCCTGAGAACTTGTGTTGTAGAGGGATGGGGGGGAGACTTGTCATGCCTTTGGAAAAGGTGGATTCAGACCATCCCAGTCTTTGGATAATAGAGAGGTAAATCAGTGTGGGAGATGGCACTGCCTGCACACGCACACGCACATGCACACACATACAGGTGGATACATTTATTGTTTACGGAGTTGTCTGTGTGCAAGGGAGACAACTCCTTCAGGAAACGTAATCTGGGAGTTAATACATTGGCTTTGTTTACTGGGCTGTTGTCTTATAAATCTGTTGGGACTTCGTTTGATATATTTGGACATTTAACTTTTAAATGCATCTTTAGGAAGGTTCCTAAATTCTGTGAAAATTCCTAAATTTTAGGGGAAATATAGGGCTTTAGATAAAAGTATGTTTATAGGTTTGTTTTCTCCGAATTGTTTTTTCCTTCATTCCACCAATTCTTGTATGTAATAGGGAGTTAAGTACGTATTTTAAAAGATTTTAAGGATAATGTTAGACCATTCTCCTGTTTCTTTGTCCATGTGTGTGTGCTTATCTTTTATCTTATTTAGCATTTTAACTTTGGAAATCCTAAAGTTTTGACTCTTTATCTTTTCAGAATCTGTAGAAGAACAAGATGTTCTTGATAACAGTACAGAGCAGACAGAGGAGAAAATATCAGATATAGAAGAGACAGACCAAGGGACTGAAAAAGTGTCTGGTACAGAGGAACCAGAGGAGAAACAAGAGGCTGAAAATGAGGACACCTCAATGAATGAAGCCAAATCAGCAGTCTCTAGAGCTGATTCTACTCCTTATCCTGAACTCAGTGGAGAATCTTTGATGGCCATGTAGTAAATGCTTCCACGTGCCTTCAACTGGATATTTATAGTCTTGTTGATGTCAGTTATTGCTTTCTAGGTGGTGCTTTCTTTTTTTCCCTCGTAAGGATATATGCTTGATATCATTGGAATTTAGATTGCTTGGCTATTTCAATATGTCAGAGTTGTAGCTCCTGGGTCTTAAATTAAAGGCAAGTGGTATCAGTAAAGTAAGAACCTTTGGAATGTATAAAGACCCACACTGTTTAGCCAGGTATTAGATGTTTTCTTCCATTCTAAAAGTAAACAAAATAGCATTCTTGTTTTCTCTGTGTGTGACCTATAAATAATACCATTTTGACATAGGAAGAACTTTGGTTATGAATAAGTTCTAATGGTGTTTATTTTAAGGACTGAAACTCAATTAAGATTTTTAATCATTCATCATCAAAAATGGATGGACTTTTAATTCTTGAGGTATTTGCAGGGGTGATGTCTACTTAGGCATTTACATTAAGTGGTAGGAAAGTTATAACTGTATCTCTATAGGCATTGGTACGAATTCTCGGTAAGAATGCAGTTGAACAGTCAAGTGCAGTGTTTCTTCTTTGATGTTTCTTATTTTGCAGCTGGGCCAAAGGCACATGATATATATAATTAGCTTATGTTTACATATTAACATATAGGAAATATCTCTGCACTTGACTGTACTTGAATTCTGAGCATTATTTATACTTGTAAAATAATGGTGATATATAAGTGAATTTTGTGCTCTTGTGTGTATTTTGTTAAGGAAAATAAAGATGATCTGGCAGCAGTTTCTTTTTGTTAAGTATCTAGACTTCTTCAGACAGTGTCTTGGTGGATGACTTGGCTACCTAAAAAAATCTTAGTAGGAGCAGCTCACAGTATAATTAATCTATAGACTCTCCTGAGAGTAAATTATGATGCTTCAGTTCAGACTAATTGCTTTTCAAATCCAGAGAAATAGGGGCATTTAGAGGTTCTAATCAGAGATTAGGGTTTTCTGATTCAGGGAAACCTGAAGCCATTTTTAATTTCTAATTTTGAGAAAGAAATAAGTATTGAGAATAAGCAATTAGTTACTAATAGTTCATTGGAGTTAATCTATATATTATTAACTGGGAAAAAAAGTCACCCAGAATGGTAATTCTTGGACCTTAAATACAGTGTGGTTATCTTTTTTTATCTTCCTTTTATCTTTCTTCTCCATTATTAAGAAAATTGAAATAGAGGTAGGTAGGTATATATATATATATGTGTATATATATATATATATATATATATATATATGAATGGATGAATGATATATATGGCAAATATTTCTAAGTTTAATAAACTAAATACAGTTTATTAAACATTTAATAAAATAACATTTATTATTTAAAAGCTCATCTTTAGATTAATATCTTATATCTGATAGGTATTTTAATGAGTCCAATCTATTAATAGTCTGAGGCATTATGGTATAGGGACCAGAGTTTTTGAATCACAGAACTGGGTTTAAATTCTAGCTCTGTTGTCTTGGGCAAGTCACCCAGCCTCTCTGAGACTGTTTTTTTCAACTGTAAAATGGGAGGTATAATATCTACTTTTTGGGGTATATGGATGATTAAAAATAATTTATATAATATGCCTAGCTCACTGCCTGACAATTAATAATTAAGTAAATGACAACATTTTATATTATTGATATCCTTGTGAAATATGGAAGGGCTATAAATTCTTCCTCTTGTAAATAAGGAAATGAAAAAATAATATGGACATATAATTTAGCTGCTCAGAATCAAGCCAGTTTTCTGCATCAACTTTTCTCTGTCATATACATATATATAAATAAATACACAGATGACAGAAATAGGAACCTGAGACTATGGAATATAATCTCTGAATATAATCTTTTTGGGGGAAGGTAGATCTCAGGTTTTGTACATTATTGACCTATAAACGTTTTAGTGACATCATGTTGAGTCTTGTTTTTTTATTTATGTATTTATGTATTTATTTTTGGAGTGGGTAGAAGGGCAGAGGAAGAGAGAGGATCTCAAGCAGATTCCCTGATGAGCTCCGAGCCTGATGTGAGGCTCAATCTCACCACCCTGAGATCACATCTGAGTCGAAATCTGGATTCAGATGTTTAGCAGGGTGAGCCACGCACATGCCCTGAGTCTTCTTGTTTTAAAACATTTAAATTCTGGTGTACATTGCTTGAAAATGAGGGGTACTTCAGAGAAATATAATTGAATGATAGAATCAAGCAAATATGAGAAACATCTTTGAAAGGAAAATGAAAGGAAGCAGGTTAAAAGGGGATTAGTGAGATCACTGCAACAGGTAACAGGCTGTAATTGTATAGCACCCTTTAAAATAGAAAAGGTTATTGTAATAAATAGTGGTTTTGAAGAATGGTTAAATGTTCTATTTCTGATTATTAGGACTAGTGTAAGTAAGGAAAAATAAACTGCTAAGTGCTATTAGCTAGAGTGATCTTAACCTCCCTACTTAGAAATGCTCCACAGATATTTTCAAACTCTTCTCACTGTGTTCTGAGTGTGATCTATAAACATGGTCTGACTTCTTTGTCCCCATCCCTCCTCCACTGCAATGCTGTACCTTCCAGGGCTCTCCCAGTTCTGTGATCATGCTAAACCCAGTACTTGAGTAAGTCTACACTTAGAAGTTTTCTGCTCAGAGAGGGATGCTCTTGAATTCCCTATCTAAAGCTGGCCTCTGCCTAGTACTCTCTGTCATGTCACTTTATCTCTACTAATGGTCCTTGTCACAATATTAGTATTTTATTTGTTTACTAGTTTACTATCTTCACAACACACAGTGTGTGTGCAAGGCTCTTTTTACCTTATCTGCAGGTCTAGCTTGACGCATATTTTTATGTAAATGAATAATTTAGTTGCTTAATCCAGTGAAAACTCTCAGTTCTTAGCTTATTTCACTGCTTGGAAGTGTTGACACTGTTGAGCACTCCCTTTGGTTCGAAACACTTTTTTTTTCTTCTGGCTTTGGAGCTCTCACACTCTGGCACCTGCCTCTCAGTGTCCTTTGCAGGCTTCTCTTCCCCTACCCATCCATTAAATACTAGTGTTTCATAGCTTCTGCCTAGTGCCAGCATTTCTTCATTTGCATATTCTCTTTCTGGAGGATCTCATCAACCCCATGGATTTAATTAACACCCGTCTCTCTGATTCTCAAATCTCCAGTCTTGGTCCATTTGCTTTACTTTGGACAGATATAATCCCCTGCCTTCTAAATGTCTTTCACAATCAGTATATTCAAAAATGAACACTATTTTCTCCTTCAAACCTTCAAAACTTAAAAATATGATGTATTTGAACTACACTGACCCCTCATCCCCTTTCCCCTTTTTCCTACATCTTCACTGTCAATTTCTGTCTCCAAAACATCTTCCAGTTATTTTTTCATTTCTCCATCCCATTAACATTAATAATGATAATAAACATTTGCATTCTTACTCTGTGCCAGGCAACATGCTAACTGTCCTATGTGCCTTATTTGCTCTTTAGCATAACCCTATGAGGATTTTTATTTCTGGATTATAGATGAGAAAACTGAGCTGTAGAGAGAATAAGCAGTTTGGTCAGTGGAAATTCTGTGATTTGAATGCAGACAAATAACTTTAGACGTCTTGCTTTTAATTACTGACCTACTTCTTCTCATTGAGGCATCCAGTATCTCCGCACTGTCTCTTCACTGGTTTCTGTCTCCAGTCTTGCTCACTTGCGATCTATTTTGTGCACTATAGCGTGAGCCTTTCCCAGTTCTAAAATTTGGGAAAGGAATCCTGCTACACCATTTCTTAAACCCTTCAGTGATTCCTCATTGTTCTTGGGATGAGGTCCAAACTGACTGGTAGGGCCTACGGAGCCTGTGTAATTCTGCTTCTAGTTACCTCTGGCATTTCTGACCACAACTATTGCCACCATTCCCGCTCCACTTTTAATGTAGCTATCTTAATGTGTTCTGTGGTTTGTATATGCAAAGTATTTTCTAATCCCCCAGCTTGCACTTCCTCTGCCTGGGATATTGTCCCACTCACGAAGACACGGGGACCTGCAATAAACAGTTGCCGGATTGCATTCAAGAAAGAGTGGTTAGAAGCCAAGTTTGCAAATGTTGCTAATTGTCGTTAACCCATAGCTTTTATTCTTGAAATTTATCTTTCTTGTTTTATGCATCCGGTACGCAGTATTGTTATGGAGAACCTGAGTCAGGAGAGTTACAGCTTTGTGTGTGTGCATGTGTGAGAGAGAAAAGGTGAATGGGAGAGAGACTCGAATTTTATATTGTATGCTGCATGTCAGAAAAGCTGAATGACTTACACAGGTCATAGGGGTAGGTAGCATCTGAACCAAGCCAAAACTCAGATCTCAGCTCTTCATGCAGATGCTTTATAATGAGCCACCAACTTTACACTGCCAATCGATATTGGTGTTGGAGTTTGGTTACTGTAAAAATGTGATATGTTTTCTTATTTTTTGTTCATGCAAGTCAGTCAAAGCAAAGAATGGGGATAATTGACGCAATTATGAATAGCTATTTTGAAACAATCATGGAGAACAGAATTGTTTTAAAAAATCAGAAGAAAATAATGTAAGTTACTATATAGTATAACCTCAATTCATTGGGGTTTGTTTATTTATTTATTTATTTATTTATTCAAAAAATTGTAGAAGAGACTTAGATGTAGTTTATGGACTCCCAAAGAGCTATTATAAATAATTCAAGTACTTACATAAAGATGAATCAAGATAAAGATGATTATGAATTGATGATCTGCTAAATCTTACCGTTTGTAATTTGACTTGTTTCAAAGTTATTGAAGATCTAAATATATTAACTCCACCTAGCTAATAAGTAAATGTATTCAGGCTCTGAATTTAGAAAAGAAAAAGCAAAATACAGGCATTAGAATATGGAGATAAGAATAAAAATTTAAAAATACAGAATAGAAGCCTCATTAAATTGTATCGGTCCATAAACTATTAATTTGCCTCAATTTCTTTCCTTCTCAGAAACAAATGTGTATTTTCTACCTCAATACTATTTAAAAATGTCTTTTTAAAAATTGTTAAATTTATTCGATAGTAAATATCCCCCCAAGTACCCTTTGGTTTGCCTTACTCTGTTTACTTTTCCATTCTCTCGCCTCCAGAGGTCCTGTTATGTGGCTTAATTTACACTACTTGTGGACTTCAGAAGAAACCTTTGTCCACTTACATAGCTCTATATTCTTTGATGTCTTTTACAACCTAGATTTTCTGCTTTATGCATTTTTCTCTAGTTTTTTTTTCTTTTCTAATATTTATACCTTCCTTTTTCTTTGGCAGCAATAATGGTAGAAGTTGGAAGCAGTTGGAGGAGATTAAAAAGTGTTCTCAAAAATCTCCTTCATAAATTAGTTTTTTTAAAGTTCTTATTCCAGGATTATATGAGAACAGGCCAAATTTTCAGCTGCCAAAGACTTTGACCAGATCCCTGGCATTTGACTTAGGAAAACTGGGGAAAATCATTCATTTTTGTGAAAATAAATATTTTTATCTTCGTCTGATTTTGAAAGGTGAAGAAAGTAAGGAATTAAATGAACATTGTTTGAATACCTGCTCCTGGTCAGCCACTGTGCTCTAGATGCTTTCACATATGTTCTCTTACAATCATGTAAGGAGGTGGAATCCTGTCTAGTGGGAATTAATTCCCCAAGACCACTTAGTTTATGGATGTTGTAAAATGGAATCTCAGAACCTGTCCTATTCGCTATCTGTG